GGACAGGCACACGGCAGGCACATGGACAGGCACATGGACAGGCACAGGGCAGGCACATGGACAGGCACAGGGCAGGCACATGGCTAGGCACATGGCAGCCACATGGACAGAGCGGGGCGGCATGGCTGTGTCCTGGAGGAGCTGGCTGGACAACGAAGGGGTTAAACACCTCTGCCTGGTAGGATGGCGGGCAGGCTGTCCCCGCGTTCGGTCTCCCCCGGAGAGATTTTGATTCATTCTCCGAGCGCGCGCGGGTGGGAGGCTGGAAGTGGAAGTTTTGCCTCGAATGCGAACATTCTCAACTCAGAAAACTTCCCGCGGTTACTACCCGGAGATCCTACAGATGCCACCCTTTCTGCAGAAAGCCAGAGACCTTTCCTCTGCCCCGAGGGGTGAGCGGCTGTGGAGGAAGGGAGAAGGGATCACTGTAATGAACTCAGCTTTTTCTTAACCCTTTAAACATCGTCCCTTCTTTGCTCTCTGCCCAGAATGCTTCCTCTTGATGGTGTATTTTAACAATACCCATCGCCCGGGACCGGGTGCTATCACTCATTTCTGAGTCCCGTTTTTGCCCTGCCAGCAAGGGATGTCTGCAGATCATCCAGGAGACCTGTTGACAGCCCCAGTGCTTCCTCTTGGGTGCAGGGGCTGAGTGAGGTCACATGTGTTTTTCTTGGAGTGGTTTTCAGATTGCTTTCCGCTGTTACTAATTGAGGTTCCATTGAAAGTATTGTGTCAAGGAATGTACTTTAGGTTTCCATTCATCAGGTCATGTTTATGTTTACTTTTTGTTTTCTCTCTCCCTTTGTGTGATGTAGCTGATCTGGCTGGCCCTGAACGTCCTGCTTTTCTGGAAAACCTTCCTGCAGTATAACCAAGGGCCAGAGTACCACTACCTCCACCAGATGTTGGGGGTAAGTGGGAGTTGTGTGGCCCCGTACAATGCGTTCAATGGAGGCAGACGTTGCTGCAGTCCTTCATCAATCAGTTCTTCCATTCATTAAAGAAACATTGGTTGTTCACTGTGAAATATTTGTTAATCTCTCAAGTGGGTCAGATTTTTCTTGACTTATCATTTATACTTTTCTGGGTTAAAATGACTGACTCTTTTAAGTACCAAAGATAATGTCTGCTGGAGTGAAGTGGATGGAACTGTCAGAGGAGGCTAGTAATACCTGAGAAAGGTTGCCTCTTCTTGTCGGCTAGCTGCAAAGTGCCCTGAAAGATCTGTGTGGCCAGAAGGACCAAGTGATGATAGGGTTTTACTTTTCACTCATCAAGACTTCAGCCTGCCCGTAAGCTCACGCAGAGGATTTCTGTAGTGTTTCCTTTCTAGGTCTCGCAAAGTATGTGTCGGAGGCAGTACTCATTGACACTGAGAAGCGGGTGATTCTTAGTAGTTGTTTGAAGTCTCTGTTTTCCATTGCAAAACTATTTATTCAGCAGTTTATTTAAACCGATGATAAACCGGGCACTTTATAACTTTATAAATATTTAGTTTAAGCCAGGAAACTATTCTTCCCATTTTGCACATGGAGCAATACAGGCTAAGGAAAGAGAATGGCTTGCTCAAGTCCCTCAGATTTGAACGCACTGCTGTCTGTCCTTTTGCTTCTTTCTCATACTACACAGATTTTCTAAACCGCTTCACTGGCCCATCTCAGATGCTTATGCCACGGGTTAGTATTTATTCATGATTTGTGCTGCCCAGTAGAAATATAGCATGAGTCATACGTCACTTAAAATGTCCTAGTAGTACATTTAAAAAGAAGCCAGTGGCATTAACTTTAAGAATATATTTTATTTCTAATAATATATCCAAAGTAGTGTAATAGATTGAAGTACTCAATATGTAATCAATATTTGAAGAAAATTATTAATTAGGTATCTTATATTATTTTTGTTTGTTAATTCTTTGAAATATAGCTTTACACATATGCCCGTCACAGTTCAGTCAGTAAGTTTTCATCAGACATACTTGACAGATGTTTAGAAATCAGAAACTTTTACAGATGTTAGAGTGGATTCCCATATTCAAGTTGTTCCAGACATATTTAAAGCTTTTCCAATAACACAAATGGTTATCAGCTTTTAAATTTTAATTTATGTTAATATTTATAAAATTAAAAATTTAGTTTTTTGATGGCTCTACACATATTTTACATGCTCAACAGCCATCTATGGCTAGTGGCCACCATTTTGGGCAGCACAGTGTAGACTGTGGGCAAGATATTCTCACCCTCATGGCCATATGCACTTACTGGGCTTGAAAGCAAGCACCAAGCCAAAACAGTTCAATAAAAAGACATCAGAATATAGGTAGTCCTCTTGCTCTCCCTCTTCAAAATAGGAGCTGATATTGGAGGGTAAGTTGTGGGCTTTAGTTATTGATATGTAACTGTAAAAACATCTCTGACTTTTCCCTAATCTGGTGATGGGAGCCTTTGAGAATGAAGGTAAAGGTATTTAATTTTCAGAACTGAGATAGCCATTTTTTTTATTGTTTTATTGCTTAAAGTATTGCAAAGAATATTACATATGTCTCCTTTTTCCCCGCCCTTGACATGTTGGGTTTTTTTTGTTACTCCAAACCCAAGGATATTTTTCCATTGATTTTTAGAGTGTGGAAGAGAGAGGGACACACAGAGAGAAATATCAATGTGAGAGAATCTCATGAGATAGCCATTTTTATTACTAGTAGGCTAAGAGACTGTTCTCACCAAAATTAAAGAGTAAGAACTGGCAAGGAGTCCAGCTGGTATGGCTCAGTGCTTGATTGTCGACCTATGAACCCAGAGGGCATTGTTTGATTCCTGGTCAGGGCATATGCCTGGGTTGCAGGCTCAGTCCCTGGTGTAGGGTGAGCAGGAGGCAGCTGATCAATGATTCTCATCATTGATGTTTCTATATCTCCCTCTCCCTTCCTCCCTGAAATCAATACAAATATATTAAAAAAAAAAGAAATGACAGGGAAAAGAAGATCTTAAGTGATGGAAGATAAAATAATATTGGAATTAATATGTCAAGTTTCATCATGATTGTTCTTTCCCAGTCTGATTTGACCGAGTCCTGGAGGCAGCATGGTCACGGCTGGTTTATGCCTGAGTTAATGTGCTAATCAGACTGTGTACTTTCTAGAAGATGTTTAATTATGACATGCTGTGAATATTGGAATCTTAGAATTATGTAAGAGGGAAAAACAATCTTTTGAGGAAAGTCAAAGCAACATTCAAACAAATGAACAAACCAAACAGTAACTTCCTCTGTCTTCCTATAGCAACTATTTAAAAAATTCCATTTATTGGGGTAACATTACTTTTTAAATAAAGGACTCCATTGATTACTTAAGATTAAATCCGTTTTTGCGATTTATTTATTTTCAGTCACCTGTTTGAGTTGTATTTCTGACATTTTAACAATTAAAGGATATCACTTAATTGATATAAACATTTTAGTTGGAGAAGCGAATGAGTTTTATGATACCAGATTCAATGTGCCTTGGTTTTATATATCTCCCCCAAAACTAACATATGTATGTAAACTGTTCACTTTTAACCTACTTATTCTTATAATGCCATAATGAGAATGTAAATTGTTTTTGCTTTGCCTTGCAATTATTATTTTAGATCTTCTACATGGTCATGGTCATGAAGATCGTCTTTTAAAGATCAGTTTTTTAAAGCTGTTATTGAGATACCTATGTTAATTAGAAGAATGTCTTGAGCATTGAGTGTTTTGTTTTTCTGATTTCACAATGATGATCTTTCTCTGGTCAATCATTATCCTTTAAGTGACTTAGAAACATTAACTAATTTACCCTCTCAAGAGACCTAGAAGTTATATCATAATTAACATATTTCAGAGACAGAAATCTGATGTCATGTAAGTTTCTTAAGGTCAGAGAATGGAGTCTAAGGACCAATGGACCTAGGATTTTAAGTCAGTATTGTTTTCAGTGCTAGCCTAGGCAGCTTGAATTCTGCTGAGAAGGAATATATGCCTCTATCAATTTCAGAAAAGGCTTGATCATTAACTTTCCCCCCTTTATTGCACAGAATACTGTACTGTGGTTTCAATTTAGGATTTTTTTAACTAAGTGTATTTTTTGTTTCCTTTTATTTTCTAATATTCTGTTGTTTGAAAATAATTTACTTCCTATTTATTGACAGGCAAAATAGGTTGTATTACTTTGATGCCATCATTATATTCTTAATCTGTTTAAAATAGAGACTTGCCCTAACCGGTTTGGCTCAGTGCATGGAGCGTCAGCCTGTGGACTCAAGGGTCCCAGGTTCGATTCAGGTCAAGGGCATGTACCTCGGTTGCAGGCACATCCCCAGTAGGGGGTGTGCAGGAGGCAGCTGATCGATGTTTCTAATTCTCTATCCCTCTATCTTCCTCTCTGTAAAAATATCAATAACATATATTTTTTAAAATAGAGACTCATAGACTTTTAGATTTAGAAGAGAGCTTTAATATCTTAGATTTCTTCCTCAGTTTCCCAAATAGAAAAATGAGGTTGAAGTGATTTGCTCACTATCAGCCACTCAATTAGTTGGTTTGTTACCATTCTGATCTGTTCGGCCTGTCAGTCCAATACTTAGTCTCTTACAATGAACAACTCTATGAACCTGTGCAAGAACCTATTAAGCTCTATACATAATAGACCTCTAGCTTTTCATCTTATGTGAAATGATACTTAAAGACGTTTAGTAATTTAAGAAGTTAAGGAAAAGTACTAATTTATCCCCAACGTAACATATTTTCAGTATTCCAGTTGTTTCAGACTTTTCTCAGACAAACTGTTAAGGAAATATGAGACATTTTTATTTAAATAATTCCTGATTCTACAGTATTTTAGCACTTAATGTTTAACCTCTTTGTTTTATACAGGTAAATGGCCCCTGTATAATCCTCTTTTATCAACACCATCCAAAACAGCATAGAATTGGGTGTTGGAGTTAAGTTCAGAGATTTTCAAATGTACCTTCTTCATTTCATTATTAATGATATCAATAACATTACATTTATTGAGAGCTAAGTATCAGGCATTAGTCTAAAAGTTTTGTGTTAATTTACTTAATCTTTCATCCATCCTATGGAGTAGATATTTAAATTTTGCAGCTAAGGAACTGAATTCGAAAAGCTCTGTGATTTGCTAGTGAGTCACAGAGGTAGGGCTCTAGCCCAAACATCCCGGTTCTTATCCACTGTGCTCTCAGCCTCTTTGCAACAATAAGCTAAGCCATTGGAACTGCCATTTGATAGAAGAAAAATAACCGAGTATCAGCCATTTCAAGTGGTTCAACCTAATTATAAGTATTACAATTTATTAATCACATTCTATGTGCCATAATTCTTTGTTGTCTTTTTATCATCTAACATTTTAGTTTTTTAAGGAATCTCTATACTGTTTCCCATAGTGACTGCACCCATTTGCATTCCCACCAACAGTGCACAGGAGTTCTGTTTTTATTCTTAAGCTTGAGACAGACTTGTACTGTTAGTAGGTATCCTGATACCTATTGCATTAATTTTCTGATGCTTCCATAACTACTAGTAAGTACTACAGTCTGGGTGGCTCAAATAACAGAAATTTATTTCCCCACAGTTCTGGAGGCTGCATATTATATGCTTTCCCCTGAGGAACACCTAGTCTAAGGGAGAGGAGCTTGCTGACTTTCAGAATGTTATAGGGACCTTGGGGATTGTTCTAGTTCATTTCTCATTTGACAGATCAACTTGGTATAGTTAAATGTCTTCTTTACTGACTCACTGGAAAGTTCAATGTGGTTGGTAGGTCTTCTATCTCTAGTCAGTGTTTCTAGTTCATCATACGAAGCATTTCATTGATCATAAAATTGATTTTTAAAGTGCCCAGGTAATTCTGCGGAAGAAAATCAAACAACTCTAA